GGAGTCGTCTTTGTGTAGTGTGTAGGACAGTTGTGGGAAGGAAAGGAGTGATTGCTTAGGGCCATTGCTGGAGATTTCACCTCAAAGCATATCACGGTCTGCGATATCATAGAGGTTTCTGTTTGAACTGTTATTTCGGGGGTTCAAATAAGGCTTCCTGAAACTCCGCAGGGCTCCTGGCTATGTCCAAAACTAGATATGCCCCGTCTCATTTCATCATGGTCACCCCTAAACATTTTTAAACACTACGTCCTAGCAATCTTAGATGCGGCCCACTGTATGCAACATCGCACATTTTGTCTGGGCGCTGGTGTCGCTGCGTGCGCTGCAACTGTAGCGCGCGACCCGGCCGGCGCCGCGGCCTCTAACGCGCCGCGTCCTGCCGGCCGCAGAGAGTCCATGCGGCGTCTCGCGACGGACGGTGTCGCGCAGCTGCAGCCGCGACAGCACGCTGGCGCGCTCTCGCGAGAGCGGCCTCTGCCGGCAGGCCAGCCTGCAGGTCAGACGCCGCTGACGGCAGGTGGCAGCACAGGCTGCTGCTTTGGTGGCAGCGGTGGGATGCGGGTTGGAGGGGGGGGGGGGGGTGATTGGCGTTTTGTGAAAGCGCCCGGCCAGACCTATCACCGTGATGTTTGTGTGTGCAACATGCATGTTTGCGTGGAGCGTATCTCAAATGGCTCCAAAGGGCTTTAAATTTAAGACTCCTGGAAGTCATGCCTAACACGCATGTCCTTAGGTCATTCTGTCTGAAAATCATTTCTGCAAGAAGGAGAGAAGTGCGCATGTTAGGCGCCTCTTGTATGCTGGCGAGCTGGGCAGCCTCTGTCGTCGACTGTGTTGATTATCTAATTATGCGATGGTGTGCTTATCTCGCAACGCACTGTTGCGCGAGACTTGTCATTCATCCTTGCCATGAGACATGTAGTAGCGAAAGCAGGGAATAAGGTGCTAGAAATCGACGTTCACCCTCGCCCTGATTCGCGTTTATTTTTGTAAGACCGGAACGCGAAGGGGAGGTGTCGGTGCGGTCCCTTCTCTTTTTATAACTGAGCATGATAGAGCCTCGCAGGAAAAGAACAGCTGTGCGATGGCTTCAGCGGGATCTCGTAGTTTGTTACGAATTCTTGCAACTGGGTTACAGATCCAGCCTACCGGATCAGGTCAAGTAGTATTTTTTCAGGGAAATCTGGCTGCTTCAGTTGTTCATGCCAATTATACGAAACCATGCCATGTAGCAATATTACAGCTATTGGTTCACATTCCTTGTTGAGTTTTAGGTATTTTGGTACTGGTTTGGTTAGTTTTCGCCCTCTGACCGCGCCGGCTAGAATTCGCCGTGTAGTGCTAATAAAACTCGTCTCTGCTTATCAGTCACAAGTGCCAGATACATTGTTTTGGTGCCAAAACACGCACGATGTACGTACCAGATCTTACTGAAAACTTGGGAGCGGTTACACAACTCGCCAGGGAGATATTGTCAGAAAACCTGAGCGGGCTGCCTCAGCGTTCCTCCCCTTGCAGACAGGGCGGGGCTTTAGTGAGATCTACGCGTAACGGAAACTTGCACTGCTTGGGGGAGAAATGTTAAGCCAGGTGGTCAAGGGGCATCCATAATTTACATTGCGCATTTTCGGCCATTTTAAAGTCTATTCTTCTTGGTCATGCACTGTTTACGTAGAGCGAAAACTCTCTCTCACCTGGTTACGCTGTGTAGGCGCAACATCCCAGAATGAAGTGCCCGCTTCGACTCTCATTGAACCATGAATGCAAAACGCCGTCGTGCTGCTTGTCATGAGAGGAACCCAGCGGCGTCATCAGCGATTTGTGCTTAATGACACGCTGTGTAACTCCTAATTTCACTTCTTGCGCTTCGACTATGTTTCATAAGGAGCCTCCTCCATGTGTATGTAATGTACGTTGGGCGCAAAATTACCATTCCAGCTGACGCGCCCGAAAACACCACTAAAAACCTAATGTACGCACGGACCATATCATCGCTCCAGTTTACGCAATCCTGATAGGATCTTAAGTAATTTGCGCTTCTGCAGCTATACTATGATGACATGAACAATGCAGTCATTAATCACTCTTTTGTCCGTCTGTGCTCTCAGTGGAGCACGTGGTCCAGCGACGACTGTGACCTCGAGTACGAGCCAATCGACGGCTGCCGAGCTAACGGCGACGGCCAATCGGAAGTGTCAGCCGGCAGCAGCGGCTCTGACTCCGCCCCCCGCCGGCTCCGCCCCTCCGTCTCGGGTCAGTCGCTGCGCTCGCCGCGACCCGGCCGCCGCTGCAGCTCCGACTGCGCATGCGCCATCAAGACGACGCGTAGCAGTCTTCGCAGGACCGGCGTGCTGGACGGCACGGGGTCCGACCCGGGCGCCTACACCGCGGTGAGTGGGCCTACTGGTGCCGAGGATCGGTGGTTTTATATATTTCGTCTCATATTTTTAATTTCGTGTCGGTGGCTTTTTATTTTGTGTCAAAGCGGTGTGTGCATTTTAAGATTCAGCAGGCCTTTCCCTGATTTGACTCATGCAACGCATTGTATGCATATCGTAAAATTGCGAGAAGCGCAACTTGAGTACATTCACGGCGTTGTGGAACGCCAAAGTTCAATGTTGTTCATTGCACTCGGTAGACATTTTGAGGAACTTTCAAATGAATAGGTGCGGACCAGGCACTTCCCCAAAGTTTTCCTCTGAGAGGAGGGTTGGGATTTCGCTCCACGTCCTGTAAATTAAGACCAAAGTCCTGCGAAATTGTCCAGTATCTGGTGTAAGTCCCTTAACTCGAAGAGAGGCTAGTTTCGGTCCCGTTAGCTATCCCCTAGGCTAGGGGTGGTTTCGGCCCCGTTAGCCGTCCCGGGCGCCGACCCACAACCCTTCTTTATTTCTGCTGTCGCTTTTTTACAATGTCCAGTGAAGCATCTAACCTCATTGCGTGTTTAAATAACACCCGGTCACAATGATTTTTGGCCATGTAACACGCTGTCCTCGTTCACCAGCATCCTGTCGCGGCCCTGCCCGCCTCGGCCCAATCGGGCGGCCGCTTCGTGGACCACGTGTACGAGGAGCCGGGCGAGAAGCCAATCAGCGCGCCCGGGTCCGCCCACCGACCAATGAGCGCGTCAGACGCGGCAGCGCGGCCAATGGGCGCCGTCGAAGGCGGTCACCTGATCCGCACGGTGGCCGAGGTGCACGGGTCGGACCCGGCGGCGGCGTACGACCGACCGCGGACGGGCGCGCGCCGCCTCAGTCCGGATGGCGTCTCTGACCACCTGTACGAGGACCCGGGCCCGGCCGACGGCTGGTACCAGACGCCGCGCGCCTGCCAGGTGTGCCGGCAGCGCGCCGCCGAGCCGGAGGGCCTCTACAAGCAGCCAGCCTGTCCGTGCGCCGCCTGCGGAGGCCACCGGACGCCGGCGGCTCCCGCGGCTCCCGCTGCGGCTCCGGCGGCGGCTCCGGTGGCTTCGGTGGCCCCCGCGGCGCGGCACAGAGTCGACGGCAGCGGACGCATGCCAGTGATGAACGCCAACACAGGGTCAGAGTCTGACCGCCCGAGCCTAGTGGTCTGATCGGCCTTGACCGAAGTCAGCGTCCCGCGGCGCACTTGATTGTTCAGGGGCTTCCTCACTGGCCCATGACTCCATATACAGAGAACCTTGCGCTCTTGCCTGGATCCCTTCTGTTAACCTGCTCGGGCACCGTTGATCGCCGATGGGCCTGCTACATCGGTCTGAACTCTCTGGCACTTCATTTTTTCTAGGAGAATCTTACCCTAGTGTCGAGAGATCTATGCATGCATCGGCCAAAGCAGTCTACCGCGCAGGGGCAATTGATTCATGTGCATTGCTCAGATTATTTGCGTTTGCTCAGAGGGTCCTGCATGGTGGGAACCATGTATGCTAGTTTGGCGGGGTGCTTCTGATTGTTTAGGGGCCGACCACGTTATTATTGGGCTCTTCCGAAGAAACCAGAAGGGCTAAACTCTGTTGCCAAAAGCCCAATTGAATTGCTAACGCCAGCACTTCCGTCACTCAAGCGTTTTCCCTCCAAGATGAAGTAGCCTAGCTAAATTGATTCATTTACACAAGTCCGAAACCTGTATGATGATGATTTTCCTTGGCTCTTTAGTTGCAACCAAATACGCTCCGATGAATTTTACGCGGAGTGATTTTATATAATTTTACGCGCCACCGACGCTGTATTTTATTTCCGTTGGCTGCCTTATTATTGACACTCAATCACTCAACCACCAACATTGCATGGGATCCAAAATACCTAAATGCCTTGTTCCGCATCTAATCGGACTGTGTTATATGTCGCCGGCCTGGCCTGCGCCCAGCATGTCAGCGTCTCTCGCCCCACCGCTCTCTGCACCTCTCCACGGCGGTAGCGCCATCTGACCGCGCCCTGCGCTGCCGACAGGCCAGCTGGAGCTGCCGGCCGCCGTTGCCGACGGCGATCAGCTGAGCGCGCCCATGCCGTCGGAGCTGATCCTCGGCACTGGGCTATATTCTCGGCCCGGCCTCCCCGCCTACGCCGTGGTGGACAAGAGCCGGCGCCAGACCGGCCCGCTGCTGCCCGGCCTGGCGCCGCCACCGAGCAGGGACGAGGCCGCCGCCGAGCACCAGTACGCGAACGCAGCCGCGGCGCTGCCACCTGGCGGCGAGCCGACGTACGTCAACGCGCCAGCAGCCGCCCACAGATGGCGCGCAGACCGGCTACGCCAACGCGCCCGCGCAGCCGCTGTACGTGAACGCGCCGACGGCGGTGGTGGCGCCTTCCACGTCGTCGTCGTCGGCGGCGGCGGCGGCAGCGGTGGCGGCGGCAGCGGCGGCGGCGGCGGACTACGTGCCGATGCGGCCGCCGACGGGTGCAACGCCGGCGCCGGTCGGCGGCGACTACCTGGAGATGCGGCGGCGGTCGCGCGGCCCGGCCGGCGGCCGGCTGCGGCGCTCGCGCTCTGCAGAGTCGGGCCGCCAGCTGGCGACTCGCTCGCTGTCGCTCGGCCGCCGCCCCATGCCCAGCCCCAAGCCGGAGCGGGTGCGGCAGCTGGCGGCCAGCCGCACCGCCGGCCCGCCGCCTCCCGTCGTCAGATGGTGAGTGTGATCCGGGGTCTTGTCGAACCCGCCACTCTTGGCTCCAAGTCGTTGTTGTTGTGATTTGTGCACTCCTATGGGGCCTTTTCTAGCACGCTAAGTTGGGTGAGGATGACCCTGTACTTGGCCAGATTTTTATATATTGACCAGATGCTTTCTTCCCGCTTACTATTGCCGCAGGCCCTTCATTGACTCATCATAGTGCCAACGCGTGACATCTTTTAGCGCAATAGGATAAGGGGAGGGGGACAGGTTAGGTGGATATCTTATTTCAAGAAGATCATGTCGTTGACGTGTGGCCTCAAAAAATTATTTTTAAAGATGCTACACAAACCGCACTAGTTGCCAGATTGTGTTGTGACCAATAACGGAGCCTGACGAACTCTTTGACGGTTTGTCAGTGTCTAGGTATTGCAGGTGTCCGCATGTCTTGCAGTTATTCTGTTGATTATGGATGCTTGACGGCTTTCAACGGGCAAAGCACAAAGAACCTTTGATTGGGTGCGTTTGTTTGCTTGTTTGTTTGAGTTCGTTCAGTTCAGCGGGGTGTTTGCTGGCGAATAAAGCGGAGTTGCATCTCTCTACTCCAGTCTCGATGTGTCAGAAGTCTCGTCGCCTTATTATTCTCTTACGGTCAATTGCTGAGTATTAATTATCTGGTACTTATTACTCTTAATTACTTCAGTAAGCTTGGCGGGCTGAGGTCAGTTGGTTATGAGCTGTCCCTTTTTCCATGAGCTTCGTTACTTCTGGTTCTCTGCATGTTATATAATATGCTATTCAAGGACACATAACGCCTTGCAGTGATCGTATTCAATATAAACCTGGGGATTGCTTCTGAACTGCGTCCGTTTTTTCCTTTAGCTGTGGAGCACTGCCAGGGGTCCGAACATCCACTGAATCCTGCGACAGCGGAGTGACGTCATGCGATTCAACGGCCTCATCGTCTTCCGGCCCGGCTGCGAGTGACGTCACACGCGCCAAGCTCAACGCCGCCGGTGGGATGCAGTGGGGGAAATTCTGGCGCAGGAGCGGCAGCTGTGACGACGCGCGCGCGCAGCGGCGTTCGCGGCGTGGCCCAGGCTCGGAAAATGATTGACTGCGAAGCCTCTGGAAGGACAGTGTCATTGTTGTGGCAATTATTGGTAGGGGTTATCTTTGCTGGGTAGCCACCAGGGAATTATATAGGACGTCTTGGTTGCAGGCTGAAGCATCCTATATCTGTTTGATCGACGCTTTGTGATCTGTGGTGTTATATGAGCACTAATGAAGCAGAGTCGATGACCCCACAACCTTTCAAATATGTTAAGCATGTTGAGCTAACTTTCATTCCCTGTTCCCCCCCCCCCCCCTCTCAGACATCACGCGCGAAGGGGCGGGCGGTGTCGGCTGCGAGAGTCCTCTGTCGGCCACCTCTGAAAGCTCTAATTCACCGAGGTCTATGGCGACGCAGAAGCCGCGGTCCGGGGTCGAGTACCAGTGCCTGGACAGGGCCAGGCTGCTGGCTCAGGTGAGACAGAGGCAGACACAAGCATGCTGGACTGGAGGCCACGGGATGTTAAGGTTTGTGTCAGAATGCCAGGTGGGCTTCTGTGGCAGAAAATACAACAAATCGAGATACGTCTACGCGATCACCTTTGAGTGAACCCTGCCCGATTCAGCCTGGTGTATACTGTCACGAACAAACGACAGCCTCGATTTCAGAGCGCTAGTGAAGACCATGTTTGCATCCGTGGCAGTGTGAACTGTTCAGAGCACGTCCGTCGGCGGAGCCCGTTCCGAGTGTACTGTTCAGAGCTCGTCCGTCGGCCTTGGCAATGACGGCGGTGATCTCTGGCGGTGATATCAGGCGGTGATCTCTTGTGGCGATCTCTGGTGGTGATCTCGGGCGGTGACCTCTGGCATCGATCTCTGGTGGTGACTTCTTGCGGCGATCTCTGGCAATGACTTGTGGCGATTATCTCTGGCGGTGATCTCTGGTGGTGATCTCTGGTGGTGACCTCTGGTGGTGACCTCTGGTGGTGACCTCTGGTGGTGACCTCTATCAGTGACCTTTGGTGGTGGTCTCTGGCGGTGACCTCGCTCTGCTCACCTTCCAGCTGAGCGACCCCGGGACGCCGATCCGGAGCGGCGGCGCGTTCAACGGAGCTGGAGCTGGCTCTGGAGCTGGTGCTGGCGCTGGAGCTGGAGCTGGAGCTGGCGCCGGATATTCGGTCGACATCTAGTCCGGCGCTGTACCAGGGCGCGGCGCTGACCCGACCTAGGCCGACCCGGCGTTGGGCCGCCGCGCGCGCCGCTGTCTGATCTGTCTTCTGCGCCGGTGTCTCATCCGTCTCCGGAGTTGTTGTTTGATCTGTCTTCGGCACTGACGTTTGATCTGTCGTCTGCGGCGCCGCTGCCTGATGCGTTTTGGGGCCGGTGCCTGATCTGTCTTCGGCGCCGGTGTCTCATCCGTCTTCGAAGCCACCGTCTGATCTGTCTTCGGCGCCGGTGTCTTGATCTGTCGTCTTGCGGTGCTGAGACGGCACAGCCGGCGCTTGAGACCGCAGCCTGTCCCGGCGAGTGCCCCTGCTGGCGGCCTGCCAGTCTCCATAGACAGCGGTGTACTCATCATCTCCTTACTCGAGGCTGTTTTGTTTTCGCTGGGTTCGTGTCCCAGACATGTGTTGCCCTGTGTTGCGCAGTGCTGTGTGCTTCTCCCTTCCGGTTAGTTTTTATACTGTCATTGGACACCGTCTAAGAGTGCCTGAAGCTCCTGCTACCCAACAAAAACCGCCTAAGGGCCACACACGCGGTAGAGAGAAGCGGCAGCCAACTGCCTGCCCCACCATTGATGCTGAACATCTCCGCTAATCGCGGTGACTTCTGCACATCACGCCAAGCGTTGTTGGTATACGTTGTAAAGGACTGTCTTCAGCTGCGCTGAAGCCGCCAGCCCGCTCAAATGATCTCAACCTCCGTCACTGCACGCGGTCGGCGTGTGCGTATCAAATCGTGATCTTTAACCACGTGCAGAGCGAAGACATTGCAACTGATGAAACACACACGCACTGCCGACTGTTGTATTTCCTGGGCCGCTTCGTACCCCAGTATGCAGGCTGTAATTTTTTTTTTTGGCGGACGTGGGGTCTGTCTCAGATCGGCGAAATGTTCCTGTTTTTCGTTTTGGTCCCGACTCAGAACCAGCACATGCTAATTCACGCAAGACCTGCCTCGGTCCGAATGTTCTCTGCGCGTTTTGCATCGCCTGCGAGATTCGCGTGTCCCACCCGGACGCCGTCCGGTCGGCCGGCTTCGTCGGCGCCGCGAGCCCCTGGCCGCTCCTCTGCTGCGCCCGCGGGGCCAGCAGGTGATCTCATATCGCGGCGCGGCGCTCGGGCTACGTCGGCTGCCGCGTCCTCGCTCCACCCGCGCTCCCGCCGGCCTGTCGCGTCGCGTAACGTCACGTCACGTCACGTCACCCACTGCCAGCGTCACGGGCGTCCCTTGGTCCGCCTACGTGTTTGTGTTTGCTAGCAGCGCGTATGTGATAACGAGCGAGCTTGGGCGTGTTTGTCTGCTTGTCTGCCGCGCTTGGTGTTGCTCCTTTCGATGTACCTGTTTGTGCATGGGGTCCCGTGACAGTGGCAGCATGGCCCTGTCAGATGGGGATGGGGTCAGGGGTCCGCTGGCTCCTCTCCATGTCAGAGTTAGACTCAAGTTCGTTCCTATTCGGGGGTGGTGCGCATTGATCGCTGGGTCAGCTCGCCCGTGCTGCCATCTGTGGGCGATCTCGGCGGCTCCGAGGGCTGCACCTGGCAGAAGTCAACGCTCAACTGTTTTCATTGTCACTTGGGTGAGTTGGCGAACGCAGACGTCCTTTGCCTACTGGCGGCTTAATCCAGCCCGTTGGCGGGGTCGATGTCGATTTAATTGCGCAGCAAGACGCTGTCGGTGCATCTAGTATCAGGGTAATTTTTGCGCTAGTTGGAGACAAATTTCTCCCTTATTCGCGACCTTTAGATCACATAGAGCGAGCAGTTGTCTGATGTTGACTGAACTCATTGTTTGTCTGACTGTGACGGATGCCCTTTTCGCTTGATTACTAGCGTAGGTCGACATTGGCGTCGCGACATATGGTACGCGACTCATCCCAGATGTGCCCTATTTGCACGTCTCCCTGCCGCGCTACTGTATTCTAACCCTGCTCAGCTCCTCCGTATGTACGTATTGTCAAGCCTTGGTTGGGTGATCATGCAAAACGTCACTGCAATCATGGCAGTGAGTGGACGCTGAATGATGCCATACGCTGCTGTCGCCATCTGTGGATGTGCCAGAGCACTAGAAGTTCGCAGCTGCTCCATGTAGTCGTTCGGAGTTAAGACGCACCAGTGGCGCGTCTCAAAACTCTCCAGTTTGTACTTTTGTACGACGCCGTTGGCGTCTATTCGAATAAACAGAGCACAAAGTATGACGTCCGTGTTTGTGCGTGTATCGAGGCGCGCTTTGCTGCAAAAGATGGTGGATGCGTTCAAGGCATCGATAGAAGCATAGTGAAGGCGACGTCGCCTGACGAAGGTTTTCATTAGCAAGTGATAATGGATCACAGAGGTTGGAGAACCTCAACTTTGGCCAGCGAGGCAGCCTCAATATCATCACGCCTTTTTCTTAACTAACATTTTAGGCATTGCACGCATTGCTTTGAAATCCATAAGTGTCTAAATTTTCCAGCAATTTTCATCCCCTGTGAAAGCGAAAGTGCTGAATGGTTAGCACCTCCGGTTCCCACGTGGGGGATCCTGGTCCGAACTCAGGTAGCGCTGTTACGCTTGGGCGCTTACATGGTTTGCACAGTCGCTGGCGCTCTACTGAAAGGTGCGGAAAGATGTACGCTGCGTGCCTTCTTGAAATATGAAAACGGGCTTTTCTTCACTCCTCTTTCTGCTGTCCAGCTCCCCATACTTTTGGAAAAGGCGAAACGCGTAAAGTCAGTGTTTTAACCGCGGTGGCCCCATTTAATCCCCTAAGCCGATAGCACAAATGTTCAGCAACATCCCGTCTGATACGTTTTCTGCGAGCGACGCAATACCGCATTGGGACTAACGGCTGGTACCTCGCAAAGCGGCACTTAGTTTCAGTTTTCGAACTTATCACGCTTTTTGGCTGTGAGGGGGGGCTTAGCTTTGAGACAGCAGGACCCTCTGTAAACGGGCCTCCGTCTGGTGAAGGCGAGAGGACCGGCTGCTAGGCGGCGGTCGGGCTCCCAGGACTCACTGGTTGTTCATGAACATACACCACACTGTCCACACAGAATTCGGAGGTTCCAGCCTCGAGAAACTTCCTGCAGCCTGTCCTCTTCCCCGTTCCCCGAGTTCTCCAGAGTCCCGGTGACACCCAGCCCCGGTTTCCTGAAGCCTCAGCGTCCTTGCCATTGCGTGTTACTGGCCATGTCCTTCACAGTCACCACCTGGCATTTGGCGACAACTTACCCGGCGCACCACATTGCAATGCACGCCATCTATTGGCTGCTATCCAAGCTGCCTGACTAGATTCGGTCAGTTTTATCTGTCGGTGTGCATGACCGCAGGTATGCCGCGCCGTATATTCAATTGATTTTCTAGACTACGAAAACTATGATGCAGATGAGAAGTGAGCACAAAACAAGATGTGATATCGGATGACCCCACATGGGTCATCCGATGACTTCATGCAATAACACACCAGTCCCCCGCACCGTGCACATGCACCTCCAATGCTGGATCGCAGTAAGCGAGATCTTGAACCACTTCGCTCAGTGATTACATATCTACAGTTATACGGTAGATTGGATACAAGTGCTGCGTGGTGATGCGATGGCAATAGCTTATTTATGTAATTCCACGTGCTGGTTCCCCTGTCTGTTGAACATATTTTGGTTTGTCCTTGACGGCCAGCGGGGCTATAGCCGATTCATTCCCAATCCCTGGCTCTTAAAATAGAAGCCCGGAAACTCTAGACCCGCTTGGCTTTCCGAGCCAGCCTTGCCAACCAATGCTCCTCCGCATTTGCAATATGAAATGGTTCTGGATGCTCCACAGGACACCTCGTCACGCTTCCTCCCGCTAGATGTCACCACCATCGCCCGCCACCGTTCCGTTGGTCGCCAGTTCGGCGAATATGTCCGAGAGCGCTAGAAGGTCGCTGCGCTTCGCTAGAGTCGCCGGCTCCAGGCTCAAGCTGCGGCCGTGCACGTGTCCGTAGGGCGTCCTGGAGCACGACTGGTCGCTCCGCCGAAACGGCGTGATTCGAATGCCGAGGTCACGAAGCGCGTAGAACGCCTTGCGAAGCACGGCTCGGCTAGGGTGTGGTGACCGGGTGAGGATCCACACCTGCTTCGCGTGCCTGCCGGCGAGGGAGGAGGCGTCAGGGCCGCTCGATAGCAGGCGATCTAGCGACTTTCCCCCGCCGTGTCACTAGGTCACGCAGGTGATCTAGCGACATTACCCGCGCGGTGTTACCAGGTCGGTGTCTGGTCGATCTCCGGATGCCATCGAGTTAGTCGAGGAGGGATGACGTGGGTTAGGTCCTACAAGCTTATTGTTTGTAGTGCCTTTAGAAGCAGCTCGTCAACCATTCTGTAATAGTCTTGCGAACACCGTTCTAGACTATCAGCTATTTGTCATTCAACTACGGTACATCGTGTTTATGCCGATAACTTGGCTGACGGTGTTTGGATCGCGGTAATGCCTTATTCATGCTGGAGCAATTTGGTTGCGTGTCCTTGCAGAAGATGTAACCTTCTGTGAACTGGAAATGTCTTGAATGTCCGAATTTTTTCCCACGTCTTACCTTCCGTATGGCTTGTTTCTGCACGAGTACTCGATCGTCCAGTTGTCATAATCCGTTCGGAGAACCTCGTAATTGTCTCTGCAAACAAACGCTTTAAAGCGTTACTTCGCTTTGCAGACACGCGAGCACGGCGCGGCAACCATGCACTGCGTAGATGCATAGCTGTAAGGACAGGGGTTTTGGACAGGGGCGCTAACCTTACCCATCCACTTTTAACGGACGTTCAGCATTATTCTTGTGGTAATTCAGGAAAACATTAACGTCAGGACTTAATAAAAAAAGGCATGCTACCTTTTGAGTGCTTTCATGCTCCTGAAATAATTATTTTTGCTATATCTCTTGGGCATCGCAGGCAGAGATGACTCCCGTAAACCTGAGGCGTGATGCCATAGGGAAAGCGGAAAGGGGAGAGAAACAGTGAGCGCGAAAACGTGTAGTGAAGGACACCACGAGTACTACCGTCTCCGTTCGCCACCACCTGTGCGTGTCCCCGTCCGCACGTGGCACTAATTGCGTGTGATATTGTGACATTGTCTACACGTGGCACTGCCTGCACGTGACATTGTTCGCACGTGGCACGGACCGCACGTACATTGTCCACACGTAGCACAGACTACACATGACATTGTTTACACGTGGCACTGTCTGTACGAAATACTGTCTTTACGAGACACCTTCCTTACAAGACACTACCCGTGCAAGACGGTGTCCGTACGAGATGCTGCCCGCACGTGCCATTGTCCGCATTAAAGCACGAGATCCTGTCCGCATGCATGGATGTCATGACCGGGAGCAAAGGGAGCGACATGTCCCCCTTTTCTCCAAATGGAGTTACATGCCTTGTGTTGTCCGTACAATGCACATCTTCCGTACTTCGCCATTCAAAAATATCCTTTTCAGGTGAGATTGTTCCCCCATTTCAGTTTGATTCCACAATCCCGACTTGTGACCCCTACCACCAATGTCAGTGACGTGGTGGTAGGCACCACCACGTCACACCACTTGGGTGTGACGTGGCCACACCCAAGTCTGCGCTTGACAATATCAACAAAGACAGCGGGTGACAGTGGGTGGCAAAGGCAGTGGGTGACAGCGTCTGCGCGTGACAATTCCGCCGGTGACATTTTCTGCACGGGACTGTGTCTACTCGAGAGGTGAGGACGGCGACCTCTCGTTCACCCCCACCTGAGCAGCGGCACTCCCGGGATCGTGTAGAACAGCTTGTTGGGCGTGTACGGACTCTGCTGGTTCACATTCACGGTGATCTTGAGCGGCTTGCTGAGCAGCTTATCTCGCAAACGCAAGGTGACCTGTACCTGTGCACGGAAGAAAGCCAGCGTTGGTGCAAACGAACTGTCTATGAATGGCAAAGTCGGTTTGAGGCGGTTTGGTAGCCCGCAGTTAAACAATGCTGACACCTTTCGTTCGCCGCTACGCCGTCGCTTGTCTTGCACAAATCAAACACCAAAGGGTGGGCACAGGTCTAGGGCTTCTCAGCTTTTCAGAAGATTAGCATAGGCTTCATGGTGTTGTATAATAAGAATGGGCCCAAAAACTATCTCTGCACCTTCAGCATTTCTCTGAAAGCTTCGCTTCTCCAGGATGAGAAGTGAAAGTTCCGACTCAGTCAGCGCTGGGTCGTGTCTCGAATCAAACTGTGCTCGTTCTGGTCAGGGGCGCGGCTAGGATTTCCTTAACAGGGGGTGGACGGGGCGGGAAACGGAGTTCAGTGAGCACGCGTTACACCCATTTAAAAAAAACCATCTGTGGCAAGAAACAAATAAATCTGGGTATAAGGGAAGGCCCCCCCCCCTTTCATTGCAACCCTGGTTCTGGTGCGATAAATCGTCTCCACATCGACGGTCAGCGGACCACCCAAACCCATTACTCAAGTGAATTTAGCGCAAGTCATCGTTCGCCACAGTTATCGATAGCCGGGGCAAAGAACAACAGGGATGTCATTCAGAACACTGGATGCATTCCAACGCCCCTAGCACATTCACATTACGCGTTTGCTTCACTTCAGCTTTTTTGGAAACTATAGTGTGTACGCTTTGAGTGGATACAATTTTGGAGTCAGCGCTCACGCGAAGCACTATTTGTTGCGTGAGGCCTGACGCTCACCATCCGAGAGCGAAAGGCTGGATCACCGGCGGCATTTTCTGATTGGATCTCAACGTGCCGCAATGCTCGGCACGGTCTATACTGGCTTCTGCTGTCAGCTGACCTTTGACGCGGCTGCTGGAATCGGCCTCATGCGATCTCAGTTGGAGACAACTAGCAAGCGCCTAAAGCGAAGCGAACCCATGCCGCCACTAACGGGGGGGGGGGGGGGGGTGATCCAGAGGGGGCCCTGTAACTAAACGAACTTTCGGGATGGAAAGATTGTATGCTTGAAGCCTTCGCAATGATATTTTACCGTTTTCTTACCATCAGTGGAAGGGTTTTGCGTTTGCCGTCTGTTTTATCATTGAAGTAATTGGCTTTGTGGGAAAAGCAGGGGTGCTGTGCGAGTGGGCCAGCTCTCGTAAAGCACCTGGCTGAGTTCTTACGTCAGAGTCTACAGCCGCGCCATGCACAGCAATCTTGCCTGCACACAATCTCCCTTGCGAGCAATCGGGCTAGTTTGTGAACGCGTTCGTCTTGCAAACGTAGTTGCTTCACAGGCTCAGCATGTTGCTAGATTGAATGGGCCTTGCACGGGACTTTCTGCCGCTGTCGCAACCAGCTGATTGTGCGATCATCATCTAATTTTCTGTCATACAACCAACCTACGTTATCTCGTGTGATACGCTCGCACCGCAGCCAGTACTCGCAACGTCAGCAGTGTGTGACGGGCGGCACCGACCGAAGTTAGCCGGTAGCACGGTGGCTGGAAGACATGCTTTTCCTGCTAGCACGTAGCGTTCGCTTTTAAAACGGGCAATCCTCCCAAAGCTGCGGCCAATCCCACTCGGCAGATTGCCCTAAAATGACACCATCAGCTAAAATGCCCCATTGTCTGCCATTTCTCTTGACCAACCGAAGACAATTCCCACAAATACAGAGACAATTTCGAGATGCAGCGTGCCAATCATCTTCTGACTTATCACCGCACGGTGTGACACCGGCAGCGCAGATGGCAAAGATTCCCACGCAAAAACTAAGAGGGAATGCTCCTATCCCCTGAAGAACCAGCCTATCCGATCGCCTGCCAAAAGCTGTTTTTTTGTTTTTGTTTTATTAGCAAAAAGCTTGTGTTGCCTTCATAAAGGCAGCACAAGATTTTTGGAAGGCAACACAAGTTTTTTTTTGGGGGGGGGCATATTTATATAAACATAAAATCCACGCACCGTCGAAACACATGCAGTATGCTGCCTCCTCGAAGTTATCAAGTATCTCGTTAAAGTTGAAATTTTGGCAGATGTTTGTGTATTTTTGGCATATAATCTCCGTCCAAAACTTCGTCTTTTGTTACCCTGCCGTACATTTTTATATGTTATAAGGGGGTGCGAGGCTCACGCGATCTGCACTTCAGCTCAGGCAGCTTTGGTTGTTTCACTATGTCTATTTCGTGATCATGCGACTGCTACACCGATTTCTAAGCTGATGTGTCAGAGACGAATGAAGCAGGTTCACCATCCTTACCTGACCACTTTTGCGCATGCTGTAAGTACCACTCCAGCACTTGCCGATTGTTTGATAAAATACAAAGTAGCGAAAGACGTCATTCCATCTTCCCATATACCTGTCGAGCAGAAGCAAGACGGTATAAACGAGCGGGCCGGGAGGAAAAGACGAAACATTGCGATCGTATATATACCAGGCTGGGGAGGAATGCTGTGCTGTGCACAAATATTTTTGCTGCGCATTATCCATGTCCTAGACCAGTTTTTGACTAGGTATTCCGTCGGTGCCCTGTTTCATCTATTCCACGCATTTAGGTTCCGTACTGCATGCGATGTAATGAGTGAAGTTCTGACTATACATGTACGTATATATATATATATATATATATATATATATATATATATATATATAGGTAAGAGGTGACAACCAGTGCAAGAAGTGCAGAACACAGTGTTCATGTAAATTCTCGTCGTGGCAGAGAGGAGAATAATCCACTGACCTGTACCAGTCGAAGTCGCGTATGATGGGCGTTGGTGGGCACCGGCCCGGGAACTCGACCTGGCCCCGGGTCAAGTGGGAGCAGGTCAGCAGCAGGAGCGTCGCCGCCACCAGCGGGAGCACCCCTGACTTGCCCATCACCGACTGGGTCAGGTCAGGGACTGACAGCTGGGGTGACGGGGGTCAGAGGAGGTCAGAGGAGACCAGAGGATCAGAGGAGCTCAGAGGGGATCAGGGGATCAGAGGAGCCGAGGGAGTTCAGGGCAGGACGGTGAACATCCAGTTCAGCTCAGGTGCGATATGTGCTGGTATTCGCAAGCTTACGTCTGACGATTTTGTCCGAGACCAGGTAAGATCAGGGCAGTCGAGACGATAAGGTTGTAATAGGGCTTCAAATGAGGTCAGATCAGGCTAGGTCAGACCAGGTCACACAAGATCAGATCAGGTCACACAGGGTCAGATCAGATCACAAAGGTCAGATCAGAGCGGGCCGTCAGACCACAGGCCACGACACCTGGTCAGAAGGTTCTCCCGATAATCCGAACCGCGAAGCCTGCAAAACACACCAGATTATGATTAGACACGAGCGACCCGTCTTACTGACAGAACACATTCTCTGACCGAACACACCCCAGCCGTCACGTTCGATCGATCGCGGCAGCGTGCCCGCACATATGACGCGGCTCGCTGAAGAAGGAGAACATACTGTGGGAAAAACCACTGCTCTGTAAAGAAAATATGACACCGAGCTGCGTGGCGGGTAAAGAAACCAGTCATTATCCCTTCACGTTCATTTACATTCGTATTCATCATTCGTAGTAAAAACCTTTCCCACGACTCAGGTAATTTGCGTTGTTTCCTGATGATAGCTTAGTCCACTTAACGTGTCTGAACGGCAGCACTGTGATGTGTAGATGGCATGATGACATCGGACAGCCGTGTGATGACAGCCATCTGACACACGGCTGTCAAATGACTGTCATCGACCCCATCTTTCAGGCGGTGCGACATTCTATCCGCCAAGCAACGGCGGGGAGAAAGTGCAGACCATGTTGCAAGGCGAGCGGCCAGGACCGCGTGCAGACGAGATCATCGCGTGCCAGCAGCGGCCACGTGGGGAAAGGCGTGGTGTGGGGCGGGCCTACCGGGAAGGGGTGTACGGTTGGGCGTGCTGGCCGGGAAGGGGCATGCAGTGGGGCATGTTGACAGGAAAGGGGCGTGCAGTGGGGCGTGTCGACTGGGGGGGGGGGGAGGCGTGTAGTAGGGCATGTTGACGGGGGGGGGGGAGGCGTGCAGTGGGGCGTGCAGACCAGCAGCTTCCGTTGCAGCTTCTGCGGGTTCAGAACGATTCCAAAAGGGCATAGAATAACGCTAATTCCCGAAACGTGCTGACCCACAGAATGCACGATCACAGCTCTAGTGAATAAACATGCAAATTAGCACCACTGCCGACTGGTAAGCTGCTCAAGACGTGTTATCATTGGTGTTATGTGATGGCAGTGCAATCGCATACGTGATGAAATCACCCGCCCATCACCGATGCTGATGGAGATGCACAAAACAGCCACGCTGAACCCGCTGGAACTGTTCATGGACAGCCTTTCACCGCATGGACATCAGGATGGCAAGATATATTTTGCTTCAAAATATTTGTCCCTAAGCCGTAAGGCATGACTGCACTCTGGTTAATGCCCATGCTATACACCCAAAGTATTGCTTTAGAAGATGAATCCGACGTTATCGTGCAGAGTGCCAGAAGACCACAGCCCCCCTTACTCTCTTCCCCAAAACCGGCCCCAGGCACCGCGCTTCCACCTGCAGCGTTTTTCCAGCGTTTGTTATTTATGCATTTCGTGCTTTGTCATCGACAACTTGACATTGTTTGATAATGCAGTTATCTTGTTTGTAATAACATGTCTTGGGGTTTTCGGGACGTCCTCGGCTGCCCGTCCCGCTGGAGGTCCGCCGTGCTGGCTGTCGCTGCGCGTTGTTGCGAGTGTGCGCCTCTGATGTCGCTGGAAGCGCCTCCGCGCACGTGTCCTCTCGAGAGCAATATTTGCTCGAGAAGCCTATTGGTCGGTGAGCCGGATGCCGGATGATGTTGTGGAATGTGGTTCGGCGTATGGGGATTCCGCTGTACCCGACACAGACGTGAGTCGCCATGTTCGTGGATCCGGAAAATGGATCCGGGATCCCATAGGCTGGATCCAGAATCCCAAGGATGGGTAGATTCAGGATCCCATGGGGTTTCATGGTTATGTGACCCTGGGCTCGTATCCTGGGATCTTCTTTGGTCTCCAAGCACGATGATGAGTAGGCCTGGTCAGTGCGCGGGATGGCAGCACCGGCCACGCACCACGTGCATCTGTCTACCCGTGCACTTTTTGAAGCTCTCAGCCACAGTCCCCACTTCCGCCTTTCGCAATCGACCGCCTGTATGGATGATCAACAATGACCGGTCTCCCACGGCGGGGAGAGAAAGGGTCCCCAGATGCGAAGCGATGGGAGCGACCTTGTTTGGGAGGCGATCTTGAAATGGCTGACGTTAGCGCGCCGGCCCCCGCACGGGCTGCTAAAGGCTCGGTGGATCGGGTCACGGCTCCATCGCACGATCACAGGTCACAGGTCACGGGTCACTAGTCACGGGTCAAAGGTCACGGGTCTCTGGTCAGTGGTCACGGGTCACAGGTTATGGGTCTCTGGTCAGTGGTCACAGGTCACGGGTCACGGATCAAGAGTCACGGGTCGTGTGTCACTGTTCACGGGGTACGTAACACATGACCCGTGACCCGGGTCACAGGTCACGGGTCATGGGTCATAGGTCACGGGTCACGGTCCGCTTCGTCCGGCGTGGCGATTAACCTCGTAGGTTCAGCGGATGGCTAATGCTCCGTCTTCTTGTTGCTTTGATCAGAAGCGTGTCTGTCGCCATGACAACCCTCGAGCTGCTCAACTACGGCGGACCGGCTTAAAGACGGCCCGCGTGACGGCGAGGAGGCTGCTGACCTTCCCCTCAGGCGTCTTTGTCGTCCGGAACTTGTGGCAGCCTCTAAAGCCAGAGCCGGAGAGAAACGGGGGAGCGGGGACGATTGCTATGTTGAGGACCAAATGACATCACAGGGCGACCGCTCAGAAAGCTCCATTGATTACAGCACCTGCGTTCGGATCCCCGCATGTATGGCGCGAATTGGGTTCAAGTCACTGGGCACTCGCTATTTGGCCTTGACCGTTGTGGGCTGTGGTCAGCGGCAGCGACCGCGCCAAAGGTCAGGCCGACAGAGGTCGATAGGACAGACCCTGTCGAGCGTTGCGGCACGTTGCCTTTTTGCCATCAAGTTCTACCATTAGCTTGAAATTTTACAACGGATGTTAGGGACCCGGGCTCACGCAGCAAGCATTGTTTAAGGTGGGCTCGGAGCCCAAAATTCAATCCGTTAACAAAAAATTGGAACAAATCTTTTAAGACCTAAACAATTGCATGCTTACAGGTGATGCACCCCTGTTTCGCTGTAAAATTTACTTTGTTTCGTTCACCTCTGCTTCTTTTGTCGTCTCCAAGGTCTGAGAAAAGACGCTGAGCTCGTTTTCCATCGTCACTGGGTACCAGCGCCGGATACGGAATCCCAGAGCGAGAGCATTGTTTGGTCCGACTGACCTGTCGTTGGTGAGGATACGCCATTGGCGAGGGTGCGCATCAGGCGTCAACTAAATGAGGTGTGCCGTTACAGAGACTTGCTACACCTCACTCCAGCCAAGCGTCGGCCGATTAGGGTCCGAGGACCGAGGACGGCACATTCGCATTGATCCCGATCATCCCCAGAGTTTTCCTTCACGCCTCCCTTAAACCGTTCCTGAGATGCCTCCGGTGGCGAGGGAGCTCTGATTTTCCTTTTTTGTAAAACTAGTGCCTGGCAAGTCACTAAATGTCAGAACGCACTTTGTCACGGATTTAACAGACTGGAGTGCAACTGCAACGAACCACCGTAAAGGGGAGGGACGAAGGGGGTAGCAGTGGCCCAGGGGGCACCCGTACGAAAACGTTAGGCGTTAAAAGTTACAGCGTTGATCACCAAAAAAGAGGTGCGGGTCTACCGCTCCCTCGATGTCAGGATGAGTGACGTCATACAGTCACACAACCCGCGTGATGTCACTCATCACGCGTGACTGTCATATTGACCCTGGAGACATTTGGACACTTCGCCGTGCGCACTTTAATGCCTCTAGAAATAATGGACTCCGGTAGAGGCGTGATTTGTTCCCGTACGGTGTAAGCAACACAAATTTGCGGGTTGGTTTGAGATTACTTGACAGCATCTCGTGAACACATTAGCAGCCACATGTCATGTAGAGTTAACTGTGATCGATTTGTCTGATGTTAGGTTTATTTGTGTCAACGCTTTTAGCAATAACTGATAGATAATATAGATATAGAATAATGTAAATAATATGAATGTAATAAAATATAAATAATGTAACTATAATATAATGTAAATTATATAAATACAATATGATATAAATGATATATTTTGGCATGGGCAACGCGGACCACAAATCATGTTTTTCAAGGTTTTGCCTTTGTCTGAAGCTTTCTATTCCAAACATCTTCACAACTTGTAGCATGCTCCCGATTTGTGAACGTTGCACAGTGGTCACTGCTTAAAAGCACGCGAAAAATCATACAAGGCAAGTTATATGTCATGGATATATAAGCAAAAACATATGCCAACTTTTCCTCCACCATCCAATACCAACGTACACCCACATCCAACATCTCTACATCTCTACTCGAAGCATCCAATACTACTAACCCTCGCACTGCCGGCCATTCCTCAACCCCGCGCTGTTGGGGAGCTTCTAGAAACCCATTCCTTAAGTCTTTCTTTCCCTAACTCGAATGAAGTGGAATTCGACATGTGCAATACCTACTTGATGAAACGCTCATGCAAAATATTGAACTACTTTTTTCTCATACAGTTCTAACGAATGGCGTTTTTGTCCAGCCTCCTTCAACAGCAGAGGGGGGGGGGAGTTCCCAGTCACGTGACCGAGCCCTCAAACCAGTTTCTCAAAATGTTTGCCCGCCCACACACACCACAGGCGCGGTAGGTGACGGCCCACATACCACGTGTGAGAAAGCTGCGGGCTGGATGCCATTATACAGGCACTTTAAGATATCCAGATGCTATAAGGCATTCAGGTGCTATAAGGTATCCAGGTACGATAAGGTATCCAGAGACTATAGGGCATCCCATATAGTAAATACCATAAAGTATCCAAATACTATAAGACATCCAGAGACTGTAAGTTGGATGCCCGGACGTCGCGGGGTGCACATTTAGGCCATCTTCCACCTCACCTTACACCTTTTACCGCCACCTTCCACTACCTCACCTTGCACCTTTTCCCGTCACCTTCCAACACTTCACCTTCCACTTTTCCCACGTCGCCTCCCACGTCACCCTCCACCACCTCACCTTCCAGATGTCCTCGGTGCTCCGCTACGGCTGGCGTCCCTGCGCAGCGTCCCTGTCAGGTGACCTGTCCAGCTCACCCGTGTCCCGCGTCCCTGTTGTCTGGCCAGCGCCTGAGCGGCGCTCAGCCCGCTCACCCGTGGTACCTCGGCGCGCCTCTCCGGGGCTCGTCGCCTGACCAGCGCCTGAGCTGCGCTCAGCCCGCTCACCCGTGGTGCCTCGGCGCGCCTCTCCGGGGCTCTGCCGGCTGCCAGGACGCGCCGTGGCGGCGCCGTTCGTGCAACAGCTGACTACGCCCCGGAGGGAGTGGGTGGGGCAGCCGGGAAGGCGGTGTCGCACTGGCTCTTGAGCCGATGATGAAATAGGATCACTGGCGACGTGGAATGAGATGGCGTTTTGTTGTTTTTTATTCTGTTAGAATGCTTCCTTCGTGTAGATCGGACGGCTTGATCATATCGGATGCTCGAGGGCTTTCTCGCTTTGGCACAAACCGTCCTAGCCAAACAAGATACTCTTTTCTCCTCAATGACGAACGTGGTTTGTTAGCGCCTGTATATGTTTGTAAGAATCTACCATGGCGAGCATTCACAACCTGCACAAATTTGACAGATGGATGCTTCACTAAAAGTGCCCGACACCATCTGGCTGGACAGCGGTTAAGCTTCGCGCAGTGTGCCACTGTCCATATGCCTGTCTGTCTGTCGGCCTGCTCGTCTGTCTGTGGCTCACAATGTCTGTCTGTCTGTCTGTCCATCGGGCACAATGTTTGTCTTTCTGAATGCCGGGGGCAGTGCATGAGCGGCCCCAACCAAAGCGGTCGAGAACTCTGTCAAAACAGTCAGACGACATCTAAGCACTGGTCCGGCTCATCGGACCGGTACCGAGCACTCCTCCAGAGTACCACGCCGGAGCCGGCACTCATGAGGAGCGACAGACCGGAGCCGACATTCCTGCGAAGCACCACACCGTAACCGACACTCGTGAGAAGCGGCAGAGCGGAGCCGACACTCCTGAGGAGCGGCAGACCGGAGCCGACATTCCTGCGGAGGACCACGCCGGAGCCGACACTTCTGAGGAGCGGCAGAGCGGAGCCGACATTCCCGTGGAGCACGACAATGGAGCCGACACTCCTGGGGAGCGGCAGAGCGGAGCCGACACTTCTGAGGAGAGGCAGACCGGAGTCGACATTCCTGCGGAGCACCACGCCGGAGCTGACACTCCTGAGGAGCGGCAGACCGGGCCGACACTCCTGAGGAGCGCCAGAGCGGAGCCCGTCAGCCGGCCGGGTGTGCCGGTCGACTGCCTGCGGGCGCCGGCGAAAGCGGGCCGCTCCCATTGTGGCCAGCCGGACGCGGCGGACTCCTTTTACCGGCCGAAGGTGCCGGAACTGCAGCTTCCGGTATCTCTGACCGCCAGAGGAGAGAGAGCGGGAGAGGGAGCAGGAGACAGGGGAGAGGGGAGAGGGAGAAAAGGGAGAAGGAAGAGGGGGAAGGGAGAGGGGAAGGGAGAGAGTGAGAGAGCAGGCTAGAGGTTAGGAGAGGCAGAGGGAGCTAGAGAGTAAGATGGTAGGGAAGAGAGTTAGAGAGCAAGGAAAAACGAGAGTAGTTATAACACTAGCGATACTACTGATGTAATGTAGCGGGTGTAATCTTAGGACAGGGCTCCAGATGGCAAGTAAATAAGATAATTTGTCAGACCCCCTAGTCTTGACAGATACGCCGTTGTTCCTTTTAGTTGTCTTTCATGACGGTCACTTTAAATCAAATTTTTATGAACCGAATGATCAAAAAGAATAAAACATCGTTAGATTGAGGACATCAACAATTCTTTATCTGTCTCACCACCTGTTAATTCCATTAACCATTAGCATAACCATACAACCATAGCATACGATTAATGACCCGCTCCTTAACATTAACCATTGACTTTTTACCCTAGAAATTCATGCGGCATGCCCCGGCGCGATCGATGCCCAAGAGGTTTGTAAGCCCTTCTGTATTTATTAACCCCTCTGAGTGAAAGATGTGGTGTATTCTGATATAAGGTGAAACATTGCTTGAGTTATTTCAGCCGCATCAACAATGAAATAAACTGCGTAGTCACGAAAAGTCACTACATAAAATGAACTGTGAATGTGAAGTCCCTACATAAAATAAGCTGTCTGGATGACAGGTGCACAAACTCTTTAAAAACCCTGACATACCACCTGTGTTAGCAGCTCCAGGATCCGCAACCTGCAGGGAGGGTTTGCCCCACAGGTCGGTCACTGAAATGTGATTCATTTGTTTTCTTTGTATGAAGCTCGCTCAAGTAAACTCTGGCACACTGAACCTAGGCACGCATTTTTATTCGATGGTACCCAGATGGTAGCCAAGCGGCGTTTTATTGTTGTCAGTTCGTATTGCATGTGTGTGTGTCATTTGCGCCTAGAGTTCACGCAACAACTTGATTAATCTAAAAGGCGGAAAACCATGACCTGGTTGAGGGCATTTGAGCGGTGACTGGGTTGGGGCATCAAATTTGTTTCGCATTCCAGTGCTTTACATTTTGAACGCGTGAAGCTAGATAATGTTTTTGAATCTCAGCATCGAATGATATTTGTGTGCTAAAGTTAGCTTTTTATGGCAAAAGAGTCACAATACGTTCATTATATCGCGTTGATTTGAGTGTTCCAAACACACTTGAATTTGATATAAATACATGTGAGGCACAATCGTGCCTTAAATTCATGTTTAAGTAGAAAACATGAAACCTTTCTTTGTAGGAAAGCTAACTTTAATTTACACCCATTGCTGTTTGAGAAGTTTTTTGCGTTGGGTTAATGCAACGCTAAGTCATTTCAAGCACGGCGAGGAGGACCAAACGTCAAATTTGTTAAGATTTAAGCAAGTACATGCCAAAGAATTATGTCGTTTTGTCATTTCATCGCAACCAATTCATCACCCACTGTTTTCAAAGTTTTTGCTTAACATTAAAGAGGCAAAAATAACGAATTAGCACGCAATTTATAGCGTGCTGCTGGTTAGATCCTAGTGAAAGACAGCCCTGGTCGAGGTCAAACATTTTTTTCTTCTTCTAAACGATTCAACCCAAACGTGAATGGATTTCTTCGATCAGAGCTCACTCAGAGCACGGCGCTTGTTGTGTGAGCCCTGACCCCTGTTATCCGCTTGTGTGGGCCCTGGCCCCTGTTATCCGCTTGTTGTGTGAGCCCTGACCCCTGTTATCCGATCGCGCAGTTCCGGGGCAACGGTAGAACTTGGCTGCGAAAGCTTCACGTGTTTCAATGCTCGGCACGGTCCGTCCTGTCCTTCGACGTCACTTAACCTTTAGTGCGGCCGCCGCCACCGGCACAGGCTAAATCTGTCAAGGACAAATAGCAAGCGCCTAAAGCGAATTGAGCCCACCCCACCACAGGTTGGTAGATCGGAAACCATGAGCTCTAACCAACTGAGTCACCGCGGCGCAGATCAAAACCGGTAGTCGAGCACTTAAGTGTTGTTCAAACGCCGTATGATACAAATACACCGGATGAATACATTAATGAGACATTTCGTCCTTTCATTAACCTACACCCTGATAAAGGGGTCGATACGATACCCTCGGGACTTCTTGAGGATGCTTCTCGGTTATGTTGTACAACCGCGCTAAAATTTGCAACGTCCTTTATGACATCTATTGCGCGCCATTCAGCACAAAAAACGTGCTTCTAGGTTTCTGGTTTCGGGGCAGCGGCGGTTTTTGAGCAACACTACACGGCCCCCGGCGCGGCCGGCGGGCCGTGCAGTGCGCTGCAGGTCTGGACAGCACCAGGTGTCTGGACTGAGCTGCAGGTCAGAACTGCACCAGGCGTCCGGACTGAATTGCAGGTCAGGACTGCGCCAGATGTCTGGACTGAGCTGCATATCAGGACTGCACCAGACGTCTGAACTGAGGTGCAGGTCAGGACTGCACCAGACGTCTCAACTGAGCTGCAGGTCAAAACTGCACCAGGCGTCTGGACTGAGCTGCAGGTCAGGACTGCACCAGACGTCTGGACTGGACGCAGATCAGGGCTGCATCAGGCGTCAGTACCAGAATGCAGGCCAGGACTGCATCAGATGTCACGACTGAACTGCAGGTCAGGGCTGCACCAAACGCTTCGACTGAACTGTACATCAGGACTGTACCAGACGTCTGGACTGAACTGCAGGTCAGGGCTGCACCAGACGCTTGGACTGAACTGTACATCATGACTGCACCAGACGTCTGGACTGAGCTCAGGTCAGGACTGCGCCAGGCGCCTGGGGCGGATGGAGGAAGAGCTGGACCCACTCCAGAATACTGCGCTGCATATTGACTGGCCTTAATTGGGCGAGCCGTCCAGCACTTCTGCTGACGAGAACAACTCGTCTTCATCCTGGCGGACATGCTTGCCCGCTCGGATGGGGTTCGGGTTAAACCCTGACCAGGTGAAAACCAATGTTTGCGAGCAGAATAGCCACGCGTGAAGTTCAGGACCGCTGGCCATGGACTGGATCGGGAAGTGTCATGCTGTAACAAAGGCAGAGCGGTGGAGCGGCTACTCTGAGGCGTGCTCGCTGAGGGCGGCGAATTCCTCGCGGTGAAGAATGCCACCGACGGGCTGTGGCCGGGAGGAGTCTCTGGGCGGGTGCCGCGGCTGGTTCCTGCAACTTAAGGAAGAGGTGCCCACCGTCGAGGGACGACGCACCAAGGGACGACGCACTGAGGGACGACACACTGAGGGACGACGCACTGACTGACGACGCATCGAGGGCGACGTGCTGAGGGACAACGCACTGAAGGACAACGCACCGAGGGACGACACACCGAGGGACGACGCACTGAGGGCCGACACACTGAGGGACGACGCACTGACGGACGACGCACCGAGGGCGACGTGCTGAGGGACAACGCACTGAAGGAAAACGCACCGAGGGGCGACATACCGAGGGACGACACACGGAGGGACGACGCGCTGAGTGATTACGTGGCGAGGGACGACGCACCGAGGGGCAACGCACTGAGGGATGACCGAGGGACGACACACCGAGGGACGACGCACTGAGGGACGACACACTGAGTGACGACGCACTGAGGGACAACGCACCGAGGGGCGACCTGCTGAGAAACAACGCACCGAAGGACAACGCACCGAGGGACGACACACCGAGGGACGACGCACTGAGTGATGACGTGGCGAGGGACGACGCAGTGAGGGACAACGCACTGAGGGACGACGCACCGAGGGGCGACGTGCTGAGGGACGACACACCGAGGGACGGCACACCGAGGGACGACGCACTGAGCGGAGCGGAGGGCCCGAACGGGGCCTCGGAGCCCTGGCCAGGCGGGAGGGCCGCGGGGTCCGCAGTCTGAGCTAACCGCTCCAGTGCCGTGTAACCGTTCTGGAAGCCGTGTCTCACTCTCCACCCATTGTGCTTACCTCGGCGGGGAGACGCGTGGTCGGGAGCTAACGTTGGGTTATCAGAGGTCTGAGCCGTCCGGCTCGGACCTCTGAGGCCTCGGACCTGAGACCTCGGACCTCTCAGGCGCTCGAGCGGCGCCGCAGCGCCCTCTCAGTTGGCCGAACAGCGGGCCCCGGCGCGAGGGAACGGCTCGCCTGGCGATCGGGCCCGCCTCCAGAGACCTGACCTCAGTGGCGCCGCCTGGCGTCGGGGTGGAGACGAGCCACGCTGTCAGGCACCTGCTGCCACAGCGCGGCCGTCAGGTGCGGAGGACGTCTCTCCTGCACTTGACGCACCGCTCGTGAACCTTCCTGTATGAACCGGTGGTCAGCTGTGGGCGTATGAAGGGAAGGGATGAAGCGTCGCTGGTCTTGCCGGCACTGAGCCGTGCGCCCGATTGCAGCCGTTCGCGTTCCCCGAAGATAAGCCTGTTTAGGGAGCGCGTGGTGCATGCTTATCACGTGCAATCTGCGGTCTGTAATCGCTTGTACGTCGCTGCTGCGGCATATATGCATATGATTGCCCGGAGCTGAGGCTTCTTTCCAATTAGGGTTTCGTGAACCCATAGAATAGAGTTTTGGTGCGTGATTTACTGCTTTTTATAGCTAGCCTGATTTTTGGTTTTGCTGCTACGTGAAATATCTTTATTTTGAAAAAAAAACACTAAAGAAGCCGTTAAGGTGATGTGACTGTCCTTTGTGACCATATCTGACTACACCATGAAACTCTTGGTCATTGTTCTTTGCATAATCATGAACCTCAGCCTCGGCTTTACGCTCAGTCGAACGCTTTAACCTATTGACCTGTGCTTGACCTATCGCCCTCTACCTAATCGATTATTGAACTTGCCCGTACACATAGTCAGACGTCTGCACCGTAGACTCTTCAGTGGCTTCATCGGTTTGAATTTCGTAACCATGTTGCCTGTTGGAGCATCACTGTTTCCATTATGTGTGTATCATAGCTCGTTTCAACTGTTCCTTGGCGGCATTCGTGCTCGCGCGACCACTTTCGACGGAAATGTTATTGACCATTGCGCAAAGTCGGCATAGTGACCAAAAACTTTGCTCACTTCATTGCATAATTTTTTAGAGTGGCTGATACGCCGACTGATAAGGATTTTGCAACCAGGGGATGGCAAACCAAATTGTTGTCTCGGAAATAATTATTGGTGTACCTGCGCCCCTAAGAGATCCTTCTGCAGCAGTGAGGGCCCCTGCGTCGGTCCGGGGCCAGATGTCCCGGTCACGAGGCCTTCGCATCAAGGAGGGGACCGGTGTATGATGATCCCACTTAGGGCCTCCGCACCCACCAAGGGGGCCACTATAGCCGCCATATCGGGGGCTGTATCTCCTGAATGGTCGCTGCTAGGGACCTCCGGATGGGGCGGAATGCCCTTCAGCTCCTGACTATAACACTTCACCTGCGTGGTTTCTAGTTCGAATGTGCTTTGAACGCTACTCGGGCTGATGTACACGGGTGTACCTGTCCTAATGACTCGATAGACTGTGCAGGTTGTATGGTGCTCGGCTAATCCAGCCCCTCGCAGCCAGCCGAGCTGCTCGATAACACCTGAGACGTGCTCGCAGCGCCTGCGACCTCCAACCCCTCGAGCACAAAAGTTGACGATCTTCCGTACGTCGACGAACTGTGTCACGTCGTACGACCCGTTCGCAGTCATGCAGATGCAGTAACGAATGACCAAGAGAATAACAACATGCGCTCTGGCCTTCAGTGTGTTCGCAAGCGGCAGAAGGCGGGCGTGGCAGAAAACGATCCGAATGCCCGTACGTTTGAAAGACATGGCGTTGATGCCCGCGTGTTAGCTCGGATGGCGGTCGAGGTCGAGCCCCAGGTTTTGTCACCGTGCCTGCACAGCTCCCTACGGACCCGCAGAAGTTTCCGTGACCGGCGGGCGGCTCGTCAACATGGCTGGTGTGCCCAGTACCAATATTTGAGCCTTGGTGGTGTTGGCCTTCATTCCATTTTGAAAAAGCCATTGATAGCCGGAGTCGAGAGGGTCTTCATGAGAGTGGTTGCGTCTTCTTGAGTCTTCATGAGAGCAATTATGGCTGCCAAAACTTGTTCTTTACTGGTGGCCAAAATTTGTATGGCATGTGCTAACTGAACAGCGGTGACACGGTAGGGCACGTGTAGACGTGGGTCGATTGTCAACAGCGTATGTAAGACGCTCAGCGTATGCGCATGTGTGCAGATATCTGTCGTTTGCGAACAGTGTATGTGCTTGAGGACTATCATTTCAAGGCGACTAGGTGGCAGTAGTTAGCACTAATATGTGTTCTTATCGAACAGTATGCAAGCGGTATAAGCTTGGGCCTCACGTAAGGGACATGTCAATGAAGCTATTTGCTGTGTCTATATGCCTAGATATAGGTGTGAAGGTATGCACATAAAGAGAGAGAGAGAGAGAGAGAGAGAGAGAGAGAGAGAGAGAGAGAGAGAGAGAGAGAGAGAGAGAGAGAGAGAGAGAGAGAGAGAGAGAGAGAGAGAGAAAGAGAGAGAGAGAGAGAGAGAGAGAGAGAGAGAGAGAGAGAGAGAGAGAGATGTATATATATATATATATATATATATATATATATATATATATATATATATATATATATATATATATATATTTATATATATATATATATGCATATGTGTATATATATATATATATATATATATGTATATGTATATATATATATATGTATATGTATATATATATATATATATATATATATATATATATATATATATACGTGTGATACATATATGTATATATACATGTATGTAAATTATCTGCATGCATATTTGTGCGCGTGTGTATACATATCAACTTGTTTGAAACTTGTTTGTACGTGCGTCGTGTTTTTCCGACATGAACCGTGCCTTCTCCCGGTAACCTCAGCGCCAAGTGTTGCGTTCTTATGGTTTATTGAGCAAACATATGCCCCCTGGTTCGGCGAGCATCGATAAGAATGATAAATAACTTCACATGTAGGGAAAAGACACCACGCTGGCATAGTCTGGTAGCAGCAGCAGTCTGGCAGCGGCAGCCGTGGCGAGAGACGCGGATGTAGCAAAACAACTGCCAACGCGAGACCGGCGTAACAATCAACATACCGGACGGCGGGTGGGCTCTGACCCTACGGGCTCGGACCCTATGGTGGGCTCTGACCCTATGGGCTCGGACCCTATGATGGGCTCTGACCCTGCTTTGTCTCAGCCAGCTACGCACTCGGACGTCACTCCACAGCAGAGCACCACACACGCAATGAAATCACTATGTACAACAGCCGTACGTGAGTATTGGTAGGTACTCTGAGCTAATAATGCGAACAAATGACCGCACTCGTACGCACTGGCGCAGCACACGCACGCGCGCACGCATTCACGAGCACGAGTACCCACCGCGCTGGGGCCCACGTGGGCCCCGTGACTCGGGTCCAGGTGGGGCGGAGGGCCTCCAGCCGCGCCTCCACAGAATGGGCTGGGAGCCGCCGGCCGGTCGGCGGCGCCCCTAACTGGTGGCGCCGCCTGCCGGCGTCGCCGCCCGACGGTGACGCCGTCTACGCAGTGTCGCCCGCGCTGGTGGCGCCACCTGCGCGGGCGGCCGGCGCCGGCGGAGGAAGGTGAGACTGCACGCCTCTACTGACGGGCGAAGGCGACGCTCCGACGCCGCGGTGACGTCACCGTCAGCAGTGACGTCACAGCGCCGGGAGCGTCGCGCGGCGCGCGGGGCTCTCTCCGGCTCTCGCTCGCTCGCTCTCTCTCGCACAATAAGTTAATCTGCTCCGCTACTCTTTCGCCTCGGTGCCGACGGCGACGACCGCCTCGACGACCTTCTCGCCGATGGCGGCGCCACCGGACGTTACCGGCCGACCGACGACCGTCTCAACGTTGATGGACCGCCGCTCGCCGGCAGGGGCGCTGAGGTCGGGGGAGGCGAGCGTGTAGGCCGGCGCCGGCACGCTCTCTCCGTCCGCCACGTTCAGCGGCAGCCAGGAGTCAGCGCGCTCGGCGGCGGCGGCCGCCTGCTTCGGCGCCGCCGCCTCGCCGCGCTGGCGCGGCTCCACCGCGTCGGTGGGGCTGACCAGCGCGGCGGCTGACGGCCGGCGCACCGACGGCCGGTCGGCGCGCTTGTGTGGCGCGCCGTAGCCGGAGCTGGGCGCCTTGGGCGCGCCGTAGCCCTTGCTCGGCTCAGCCTTGTAGACGTGCACCGGAGGCCGCACGCCCTGGTAGATGATGATTGGCGGCTTGTTGTACGCCTTGGGCGCCGGCAGGTAGACGGGCGCTGCCTTGGCTGGCGCGCCGTAGTGGCTGCTGGGCCGCGGCGCGGGGTACTTGCCTCCGCCGTGTCCGCCGCCGTGTCCGCCGCCGTGTCCACCCTTTCCGCCGTGTCCGCCGCCGTGTCCGCCCTTGCCGCCGTGTCCGCCGCCGTGTCCGCCGCCGTGTCCGCCCTTGCCGCCGCCGCCGAGTCCGCCTCCGTGACCTCCCTTGCCGCCGTGTCCGCCGCCGTGTCCGCCGCCGCCGCCATGGCCCTTAGAGGGAGCTCCGTAGTGGCTGCTGGGACGCGCAGCCGGGTAGCCCTTTCCGCCTCCGCCATGGCCCTTTGAGGGCGCGCCATAATGGGAGCTGGGCCGGGGGGCCGGGTACTTGCCCTTAGGGGCTCCGTAACTGCTGGAAGGCCGGGCCGCCGGGTACTTTCCGCCGCCTCCGTGTCCGCCTCCGTGTCCGCCTCCGTGGCCTCCCTTACCGCCGCCGCCGTGTCCGCCGCCGTGACCTCCCTTTCCGCCGCCGCCGCCGTACCCGCCGCCGCCGCCGCCGTGGCCGCCGCCGCCGCCGCCGTGGCCACCGCCGCCGCCATGGCCCTTAGATGGGGCACCATAGCCAGAAGATGGTGCCTTCGGGACACCGTAGCCCTTGCTGGGAGGAGGTCCGTAACCCTTGCTGGGAGGGGGTCCGTAGCCCTTGCTGGGAGGAGGTCCGTAGCCCTTGCTGGGAGGGGGTCCGTAGCCCTTGCTGGGAGGAGGTCCGTAGCCCTTGCTGGGAGGGGGTCCGTAGCCCTTGCTGGGAGGAGGTCCGTAGCCCTTGCTGGGAGGAGGTCCGTAGCCCTTGCTGGGTGCCTTCGTGATCTGGTAAACCGGAGGCTGTTGGTACACGTGAATCGGGGGATGTCCGGCGTAGATGATGTGCGGGGCGGGGGTGGCCTTGGCCTTGGGGGCTCCGTAGGACGAGTGTGGCTTGGGGGCCGGGTATCCCTTGGCCTTGGGGGCACCGTAGGACGAATGAGGCTTGGGAGCCGGGTATCCCTTCGCCTTGGGGGCTCCGTAAGACGAATGAGGCTTGGGGGCCGGGTATCCCTTGGCCTTGGGAGCACCGTAAGACGAATGCGGCCGGGGGGCGGGATAGCCCTTGGCCTTGGGCGCACCGTAGGAGGGCGCCGGCTTGTGAGGGGCGCCGTAACTAGGCGACGGCTTGCTGGCGGACACGTACTGGGGCTCCGGAGCCGGCACGTAGACAGGCGCCGGCGCTGGCGGCGCCTTGATGTAGACAGCGCTATCGCTGGAGCCGTGCGCGCTGTATCCGCCACCTCCGCCGCCGCCGCCGTGGGCTCCCTTTCCGCCGCCGTGTCCGCCTCCGTGTCCTCCCTTGCCGCCACCACCGCCGTGTCCGCCACCGCCGCCGCTGTAGCCGCCGCCGCCGCTGTGGCCGCCGCCGCCGCCGCCATGGCCGCCGACGCTATGGCCACCGCCGCCGTGGCCACCGCCGCCGCTGCTGTAGCCGCCGCCGCCGCCGCCATGGCCGCCGATGCCATGGCCACCGCCGCCGTGTCCGCCACCGCCGCTGTAGCCGCCGCCGCCGCCGCCGTGGCCGCCGCCGCCGCCGCCGTGGCCGCCGCCGCCATGACCCTTAGACGGAGCACCGTAGCCAGACAGCGGTGCCTTCGGGGCGCCGTACCCAGAGGAGGGTGCCTTCGGTGCGCCGTAGCCCTTGCTGGGCGGAGGTCCGTAGCCCTTGCTGGGAGGAGGTCCGTAGCCCTTGCTCGGTGCCTTATGCGCCACATAGGGCGCAGGGGTGTTGACCACGTGGACGGGAGGCTGCGAGTCGGACTGGTAGATCAGCACGGGGAGCTCATGGTGGGGCAGCGGCACGTATTTGACCGACTGGGGCACCTTGTAGCCACCCTTGCCGTGGCCGTACCCCTTCTGCAACGACAGGCGAGGGAGGTCTGTTAGTCGGGAGATCGGCTGGCGTTCGGGGATTCGCTGCGAGCGCTTTGGCGGAACTGCCATCGAAGCATAGGGCAAGAGTTACGTTTAAGCACTTACAAATCAAACGCAAATAGTTCAAAACAGTTTTAGGAAGCGTCGCCGGGACACAATGTACAAATTTATCCTGCGTGGTGCTCCCCCGATTGCCTTCATCGCCCGCGGCTTAAAATCAGGACAGCTCAGCTCGACTGTTTCCTGACCTAGCAAGTTCGCACCAGGTCAGACCGCTTCAGACCACTCCGTGACGCTCGAACAGCGCATCCGGCCGACCGATTTGTGCAACCGCCGCGGCCTCAGGGAGCAGCCCGGACTCCATCTGGCAGTGGGTGGAGGCAGCCCCAGGGACCCACTTAGGCCCCTTCCGACCTAGGTGAAGACAGCCCCTGATATCCATTCGGGCCCATGCTGACCGTGGGTGAAGACAGCCCCTGAGATCCATTCGGGCCCATACTGACCGTGGGTGGGGGCGGCGCGGGGAAGTGAACGATCGGCGGCTTCTCCCCGCTGTAGACGATGGGGCCGGCGTACTTGACGGGCTGCTTGTAGCCGTACCCCTCACTCGAGACCAGCGAGAGCCCCGCTGCCAGCAGCAGCGCGGGCAGGAACTGAAACAGGTCCAGGTGTCAGAGCGGTGACGTCAGATGTGTGGCATCAGACGTGTGACGTCAGACTGCCGTGGCGGCCTCCATCAGCAGTTGCGCGGGCAGGAGCTCAAATGGCGAAATGAGCGCGAGTGATGTGGGTGGGTGCAGGAGGTAGTTATATGTCCTTGAGCCAAACGCTCATAAAAACGTTAATGCTGTGATGTCGCATGGAAACAAATTCATTCAGAAGCGTTGCATAGAAGACTTCCTGTCCCCGCCTCGTGGTGGGTTTCTTGCTTCCTGCGGCGACAATATGTGTGTGACATTGGGTAGGGCATATGTACACATGAATGTACTTATATGTATACCGTATGCATGTGTGTGCATGGTGTATAAGACCGTCGTGCACCTAAGGTGGAAAAACAATCCACCAATAGAGCCAAAGTGCTCCAGGTGGCAAAGACCGACCCAAGGACAGTCCAACTATGAACCGAACAAAGACCATGGCACAGCCTTTTAAATCCAAGGCATTCTTCCGCACCAAGTTTCCATATCTCGGAACGATGCGTTTAGCCATGCTGTGCGACAGATCCGACTGCTAGTCTTTGACGTGGTGTAAGCAGTACACACCCTGTCGTGCAGTTATCAAAGGCTGTTTACCATCGACGCTCATTTCCGACCGATCAACAGCGGCTTGAAATACTTAAAACAAGCGGAACGATATGAAAGGCGCACACGTTTTTTCCCTTTGTCTCTCAGACCTGCTTAGCGGAGGGCACCATGCATGGATCCTGTCCAGTGGGAGGACACCACGCCCAGCCTGGCAGCCCAGTCTGGTGAGCGCGGCCCGCGGCGTACCCCCACCCTGACCCTGTGTATGCTCCTGAACTCGGTGACCGTAGCCCCCCTGCCCGGGATCGTCCCTGATCACGCCAGAACGTTACACCGCCATGTGACGCTCAGATGCAGTCCGACGGCTGGCTCTGGAGAGGCGAGCCGTTACCAGGTCTCGCTGTGACCGATTTCCGACGTCTGACCCAGAGCCCCTGGCGCCGTTCTGATTGGTGTTCCGATTTCGGCGCGCCGCGCGATTGGTCGACGCTCTCCGGTGATGCGTCGGTGCCGGCGTTAGATCTCGAACGCGATCGCGTGTGTGTTTTTGGACGCGTGGTCAGGGCCGCTGGTAGCCTTGGTGACCACTGTGAGGACTTTCAGTTGAAAAGAGACGGTCTGGTACAGTCAAACGCTGGGGTGAAATAAGGCAGCCAGGTGTCACTGACGTCAAAGTCTAAGAGAGAGCACATCATCAATCGAATCATGGTGCAGATTTAGAAAACAAACAGATGGTGTAACTGCTTCAGTTGACATAAAGCTAGCCAACCATCCTTACCGCCAAACAAACTGAATGCGGACAATTCGATTGCAAAGTCTATCAGAAGTATTGACCCTTAAATGGATCAGATTTCGGGTAATTAGAACCAGTGATGTCGTTTTAACATGCAAAATATCATCAGCGACGTCATTGGCATGAAAAACACCATTCATGATAACGATGTCACCCGTAAGAGGCTCCGTGAGCACCGACATCTACATCTACGGCAGCGGCAGATGTCGGAGCTGTTCAAACCGAGCTGACCGCCACTCTGGCAGCGTGCCAAAGTCTGTTGACTCGCGGCGTCGACCAGGGCGGTCGCTGACCCGCTAGCCTGGTTTCTGCTTGGTTGCCATGGTTACAACTGCGGTGACGCGGCCATTTTCCCTCCCACGCGAGGTGAAAGCCGGCCGGCGAGACGCCCAGCAGACGACCCTCCACACACGACGCTGAGTGATCCGCCGTTTATAACACACACCGGCGGGGCCAACGACACCGGCGAACGGCGAAACGATCCAGCCAACTACCGAAAAATCAGCCGAGTGACTGGAAAACTGAAGGACCAATTCGTCTTCCGACCAACAAACCCACACAGCAAACCGGAGACGGCTGGTGGTTGACCCTCACAATAATCAACAAACCTCACCGTCAGCGACCGGCCTCTACACCGGACCGGACCGGACCGGACCGGCCTCGCGAGCCGCTTCGCCTTCGTGACGAGACAGTCCACCCCTGGCCGTCAGCGCGGCGGTCCGTCGGTTCAGAGGGCTCAGACGCGTCACGCGCCTCCGTCGTGACGCCGCACGCGTCACGCGCCTCTGTCGTGACGCCGTCTGGGCGGCCGGGAGGCCCCGGCCGAGCCGCCAGATGGCGCCGCGGAGAGCAGGCCTGGGCCGGGCCGGTGCGGCGGGCGCCCGTCCGCCGGGAGTCTGCCGTCAAGCGGGGCGGAGCGGCGGCCGGCGCGCGCGCGGGAGCCGAGCTAGAGCCGGGCTCGAACACGCCGAGATTGGCAGAGGAGCTTGAGTATTGCCGGTGTCGGTACCAAGGCCACGTCAATGCCCTTAGTTCTGACCACAGTTGAAATAAAATAGGGCTTTCTAAGGTTTTACATCTGATTTGCCTCAGACGGTGTAAGTATCACTCATCTAAATTGTTTGCACTTGGTTTCGACCGCGGTCTGGGAAACATGCCTGCGGAAGAGCCGAGACAAGATACTAGCATTCCACATAACACGTTAGCCCGAATAATTGCATCGCCTTTACAGGTAAAACAGCTTATGGCTGGGGCATACACGTTAGCAGCTCAAGAGCCGTTTCGGGGAGCCACTGGCGAGTTAGCACGAATGCGTCAGCCCCGTAGTCATTATAGCTCGTGCTGATCAAACTCGGTCTGAAAGCTGCATGACACGAGCTACTTGTCCCAGACGAAATACGAGAGGAGCAACAAACCCGAGGAGCGACGGCAGACGGTGGTGAAGGAGATCGGGCAGCGGGGCCCAATCAGCCCCTGCTGGAGCACCGCGCACGCCGCCACGCCCTGAGCAGACACCCCAAGCCGAGGACAGTCGGCAGGACGGGGAGGACGGCGCCGCTCCGAGGACAGGCGGCGGCGAGGCTCCTCGGCCGTCGGCGCGGTCCCGTTACCCAGCCAAGGTCCATGGGGTCGTTTGGTGTTAGTGGGCCACGCAGGCCAGCTGCGGCCAGCTGACGTCCGGCGCTGGAGCCCCAGGCTAGCGGGCCGGGCCGGGCTGCGCTTGGTCAGCTTGTCTCTGCCGCCCGCCGCCTGGCTGCTGCCGGCCGTGCTGTGCGAGCTGTCGGCCGCCGGTCACCCGCACAGTAATACGTGGAGGAGACGGCCGATCGGCGTATCATCTCTGGCCTGTCGCAACACGCATGTGGCTAGTGCATGATGATGTAGATAGCGTATATAGTGCATGCGATAGTACATGATAGTTCGTGTGGACAGTGCATAACAGTCATTACACCGATCGCGCTATTTGTAGCAGAATTGGCAAAACGCCAGCTAGGCGTGAGACTCGGGGGGGCCCCCGGACAGACATGCCGTCGTGTTCAGAAACACTACCAGTTGAGCCACGCTACGAAGGCGCGTGACTTAGCTCGGCGGCCTGGAATTCAACAATTTTGTCTTTTCCGCGGTAGGCCCATGACCATGCTTAACACATGATCTCACGGAGTACGAAATAACTCTTGAAGCTCCAAGCCATGATTGCTAAGTTGGCGTGATAGGTACGCTGCTAAGTTGGGACGTTACATGACACATTCATGCAGCTGTAAGTAAATTTATAGTAAAGATATCTTGCTGATGTCGATGCTAGGATGGAAAAGCTCGCCCCTTGGAAACAAGTATGGAAATCACGTACATGCGCCGTTTTGGAAGGCATATTCGTGCTTTCAGTTTTGTATCGGAAACTGATCTACCTAGAATGGGACCGCCCTACCGCTCGGAAACCGGACTGGCGTCGAAGGAAAAGAACACGAGAGCACCGCCGCCAGAGCGCCGAACCCGTGAACGGAGGAGGCGCCCGGTGAAAGGCACGCGCGTATGCTAATGGGCAGCAGCAGTGGGTTCCATTCGCAGACGTACATTACGGCCGAGGAGAAACGTCGGCGACCACCGACCGCCGCTTCGCCGCATGTCGCTAATGACACGGAGAAGGCCGCCGAGACTCGTGACATAACGGAGGACGAGGCGAGACTCGCGACGGGACGAGGACTCGCGACATCTGCGAGGCGGCGTTCCCATCGGGGCGGCAAGAAAGCCGCCTCACGCACCTGGCTTGCAGACAGACTGAGGGCAAGAAACAACCCACTCCGGACATCTGCGGTAGAAATCTTACAGCCGTTCTTGTGTTGTTGGAGAGAGCGCAGGGCGCCACTGACGAGCGCTGCACATTTGTCGAGACAATGCCGTCGCTTGTACGGTCCAGTGCAGCATCCTGTTATCGATATCATGGGCTGGATCACTGAGTTGAAAGTGCTGTGTATGGATGATGCACACCAACGTGGTTTTCACTTTGTGTTCCGTATGCATGGCACCACCTGTTGAGAACCCTTTCAGTCGACGCTGCAAAAAAGTGGGCGGCCTTTGGAATAAAGCCCGTGCGGATGCGTGAAATGTCCTTTCACTAGGCGGCCCAGGACGCGCTCCCATGACGCGTAATGCGCCGGACGCGCTGGGAAAGGCCCTGGCATTCACTGGGCACTTCCAACATGCTAGGGCGATTTCACACCCGAAGCCTCCTGCTCTTGTGGTGTGACCATAGTCGAAAGAGCTCTCGAGGCTTCAAGCGCACTGGGCTTGAAATGCGAACAGGATGCACGTCGAGCTTTGTTCAATGTCGAGTGTGCGCAATGTTTTCAGCAGCCACGGCCACGTGAATGTCCGTCCAGCGATGCTGCATATCACCACCAACTCGCGCCTGTGCTTGATCGCAACGTTTGTCAGATAGACCTTTGAGTCCAATGTGTGCCAATCACCTGACCACAATGTGAAACAAAATCACTTGGGTAAGGAGTTGTAACGTTACTGCCGTGATGAAAGCTCATCACCGGAAGACACCACCGTAACCAATGGACAGTCGTGGCAAACGCGTCAAAAACTAAAACTTGCCGCGAATAAGAACAACATCATGGCACCTACATTCATCCCGGCGCCTGTTTCGATGGCGCCCGTGTGCCCCCCCCCCCCCCCTTCCCCCCGCCCTGCTGACCGGGTCCGCCGTCGGATCGGCCTGGGCGCGCGGTGCGAGTGACGCCAGAGGCGCCGCCAGGCGCGCCGGCCCCATGTAAAGCAGGGAGAAAACGGCCCGGCTCCGAGCCGCCGCGCTGGAAAGCGCGGAGCTGACCGCATTCTGTCGGTCGATGGGCCGGGCGCTCGGGCGGATCCGCCGCCGGCGCCAGCCGTGCTACATCGGCCAGACGGGGTCAGGCGCGCGCCCGGGCGGCTGCCAGGACCTCAAAGGAGCCGGCAGGACCGCGGAGGAGCCGTGAGGAGCTTAGAGGAGCCGGCAGGACCTCTGAGGAGCCGTGAGGAGCCTTAGAGGATCCGGCAGAACCCCCAGAGGAACCGAGAGGACCTCAGGGGAGCTGACAGGACCTCGGAGGAGCCGTAGAGGACCTTAGAGGAGCTGGCAGGGCCCCAGAGGAGCTGGCAGAACCTCGGAGGAGCCAGGAGGAGCTCAGATGATTAGCAAATGCCTCTAAAAGATTACAATTTGAGCTCTTTCACTGCACCCATGAATAACCCGAACAGCCAACTGCCGGGGGCTGTGAGAAGCTAAGCCAGAGGGTTTTGACTGGCTCTCGGTCTGGTTTATTTCGATGCAAATCATAAGTTTTAAATCATGTGTAGCTACGAATGAAAGAAGTGTTTGTCAACGCAATGCTATCCCATAAACTCTTTCGTTTATATTCGATGAATAATGAATATTACTCTAGTAGTTTAAGCATTTACCTACCGGCTTTGAGACACTGTCTCAACATGTGTGGATGGGAGTGTAAAGTAGTTGGTTAATAGGCCATTGTGAGTTTCTTCCATAATTTTTCCATTTCATTTGTTCTGTACTATACTTTCCTGCGCTGCAGGATGCATTAACATTGCTTTATCGGCGGAGTTATGAGTTAATGAATAAAGTATGACCTGTCTCAATCGTAGATTTCTTTCCAATTTCAGGTAATAGATGAGACAAACGCGTAATGGTTGCCTAGATATTTCAGGCTCAATTCTGTGCAAGCGTCATATGATGGCAAACAAAATTACTTTAAACAAAACAAAAATACTACTAACTCTACAGCTCGTGCCAAAATCATCCCTCACCCACACTTCTAGGGCAAAATCAACGGGCGCATCAAGATTGTTTTGTGCGGCTTTACATTTTAACATTCCTCAACGTTCCAAATCGTTGGATGGGTCACAACATGACGTTTAGCACTGTCAACATTTTACGCCCGCAAGAACCTGACGAGCATGTGAAAGCACGAAAACCAGACTGGAGCTCCGCCAGCACCCCTCACGTGGAATCGTCAAGGTTACTTTTACGCCAATGGACGCGGAACTGGACGACTGGGTCGACCTTGAGTATCCAGTTTTTGTTCACGGCATGCCTGGCAGCCGGACGAGGAGCGCATCAAGAACAGGTTCTTTAAGCAGCCAGACCAGAGGAGCAACATTGCGCGGTGATGTCACGTACGGTTACCGTGCAATGGTGGTACAACACGTGTGACGCAAGAGCTGGCAGCGTTTGCTTGGGTAAGCCGTTCAAGGTATTTGAACTAGAATATTGTTTTGCATGTTTAAACTATTATTTTGGATGCTGTTAAGTACTCTACGAGCGAGGTTTTTTCGCAAGGAGCACTTGGACACACACATCGCTATCCTTTGAGGAATATCCTTGATATTATTACATGCTCTAACGCTTTTATTACATGCTCTGGCGCAGAGATTGAGAATGGCCGGCACGGCACTGTATAGTGTTCTTCTCATTAGCATCTCGCCTTATACCTATGAGTTGTAGTCACATGTCGCGTTCACATCAGTGTAAATGGCCAGAGAGTGAAAAATGGCCAACTGGTATTCAGATGACATGTTTGTTAACAGGAAGTTGAGTCCTTATAGTGGAGGCAATATTACTAACAGACACAAACTCTTGTGTGTGAATCGTAGACATGGATGTTTCACGACGGCATAAACAAGCCTTGGCCCCAAAACAATATTTGAAACAATGGTGTAACGTCAGGGAAACTTGGCAAGATTTGACCTAAAAATGATTGCCTTACTAAAAGACGCCTCTTAATTCAAGGAAAAAAGTATTTTAGTCCACTAAGCCGTTGGGTTTGCTAGAATAGCACGCAAGTGCACTCTAAAGAACACCAGCAAGTGTATTCTAGAACAGAACAGCACCAATTAATTCAGAACACGCGGACTGATCACTGAAGCAGCGAACGTTTACGTCTGTCATTGAAGCACCACATCTGCCAAGCAGGGGTCTGGTCGCCACCTATTTTCAAAGTCCCTCGGATTGCAACGAGGGCCGACTCTGACCACTTGTGCGCACCCATGCCGCTGTCGGCGACTTTGGTCGCTAGATGTCAGCATCTGCGCTGGCCGGGTCGAGCCGGGCTACTTACCAGCCTCATGGTCTGTCCGTGGCTGTGTTCCGACACCAAGTGAGTTCGCCACAGAGGGAATCTAAAAGCTAACGTATACTACCCCAGGTGCCTTATATCCCGGCGACTCTCGGCCAATCAGCGCCCGCCGCCGCCTGCGCCTCAACCAATCAGCGGCGCCCGTCGCGGCCTGGTCTACTTCGCACCGAAGAATCCGGGTCAGCTGCGCAGGGTATAGCCGGGATGGGCCTGGCTCCCGCCCTCTCTCCCCTCTCTCTTTCTCTCGCCGCACCGCGGACAGCCAGTCTGGAGGAATTTGTCTCATTCTCACTGGTGAGCACCGCGTACCTCGTCCTAAAATCGTTCCCACTTATCTCGATTTTTTGGTCTGCTGTCGACCCCGCTGTGTAAAATGATTCGTGACCGGTATCAGATAAAACCCTAATAACAGATAAAACTTAAGTCTTTTTCTTGCATTATCCGGCTCCTCGTTCGCATCCTTTCACGTGTAATATCATTTCGAATGCATCGATGCTATTCTTACAAGGTTCCTTCCTATCGCAGACTTTGAATTTTTTTCCTACATCATGCAACCCTTTATTTCATTACGTCATGCTAACCGTCCGCCACACTCGCTAGCATGAATGTTCTTCCCGCTGTTGTCCAATTTCTCCCATAGCATGCAGCGTGTCCCTCCCATCTCCCGGCGCGTAAAGCGGGCGCAAAGCGGGCGTAAAGCTGCGTGCCTTCTAACGGGCCGCTTGCGTAACCGTGAAAGCAGCGCCCAGAAAGTATGCTTATTAGCCCGGCTGGCCGATCTTCCGATGGTTGTTCTCCGGCGTTTCAACAAGCCGGTGTCCGGCCATTTCGTCACATACCGGGCCATGCTGCCTCAAAACTGACTTACAGGCGGATAATAACAGATCTGGTTTTGAAGAGTGCTCGGAGACGGGAGCAGCTGGGAGGGAGACAAATGGTCAGTCGGAGAGAGAGAGAAAAAGAGAGAGAAAGGGGCAGAGAGGGTGGGAGAGAGAGAGAGAGAGGGAGAGAGAGAGAGAGAGAGAGAGAGAGAAAGGAAGAGAGAGAGGGAGATATATTTCATCCTTTTAATCTGGATGCAACATAATATTGACGGGATCATCAGCGTTCGTGTTTCATAGAAATTGCACGCAGCAGGCGGTGTAAAATATTTGAATTCTGTGCGTTCCTTGAAAATGATTTAATTCATTGCGTGGGTTTGACAGAATTCAAAGTGCACACACATACACTTAAATAAGACCCATGAGTCACTCCTTACTCGCAATAACGACTGAGGAATTTGATTGACCATGTGAAGTGAAAACAGTAAAGTATACCTCGCATTACAGGCCGCCCGGCCAAGTGTCCCACCCAAACGCAAGCAGAGTGTTGGTCGAGGCCGGCATGCTAATTGATGCCGGTTTAAACTATGCGGAAGTCATACAGAGGTTCAATACACGGTCATTGCGCCTGGAGGAGCGGGTCAGCCCGAGTCTGTGTGATTACGGCGGAAGAGGGGGAAGGGGGGATGACACAACCACTGGAACCGTCTGTGCAGCTGCCGTGACGCCGGTAATGTCACAGTGGGTGGGTGACACGTGTGTCACATCACATTTGTCCGTGTTTGCACGAAGTTCGGGAAAGGGGGGGGGGGGGGGTGCGCGACTGGCTGTGAATTCACGCTCCTCCCGCGCCTGGCATGTCGTCTTGTCGACACGCATTGGACGCGTCGCGTGCCGCTCTGGGCGAACGTTCGCTCGGGTTATCACAGCCATCGTTCATCGTATCGCATATGTTGTTTGAAACGGGTGGATATGCTAGGCTGAGCAAAAGGCATCAATTGTAAACGAACGCTGGGCCACATAGAGCAAAGGGCATGCATCTATACTTGCCTAATACGAATTTAGGTATATATATATATATATATATATATATATGTGTGTGTGTGTGTGTGTGTGTGTGTGTGTGTGTGTGTGTGTTCATGTTCTCCGGCGTTGAGCAATTGGTGATACCTTCTAACTTGCGTCTGCAGTCTCTCTGGTGTTGCTTTTGCACTCTGAGGCGCAGTCTCCGTATGGAATGCCTACAACCAGGCGCGGTGAATGCGCGCGATCCAAAAGCGTTCGCCCGATACGACGGACGCCTTCGGGCGGGTGCGCGCCCCCCTTCCTTCTTATAGAGGAGGCCACTGACCCACTGAAACAGAGAACTGCACTTCTGTAGGCCTGCCGCGCATAGCACGCCTCACAGCGCCGGACGGCCACCGCCAGCTTGCAAAACGCAGGCTCCACCGTACCGTTTACAGTGACTGTAAGGTATCAAGCTCGTAATGGAAACGCATCAGTGGGATCGTGCGACGGCTTAAGTATGAGACTGAGACCAAAATCGCGGTTCATCAGATGACTGCAAACCTTAATCAAGTGGCTATGACAGCAGAGTAATAAAACACCCTTGACAGAGGAGTGTGGTGTGATAGATGTTTACGCTCCACTTCAGATGCCCTCCCGTCCTACAATGTTTGCTCGAGTGCTCAGAGCTGCTTGACGTGCTTCGATTCCAGCCTGTTGACGCTTTCTACTCAGAGAATGCTCCGATCTGTTCGCGACGACGTTCGAAGTGGTTGGTACTTGTGCTGTACAAGCGACCTGACACAAGCTGCTCTTTTTGGTAAAGTATGATTGCGCTGGTATTAAGCAGAGTCCTTCCATGATATTTTTGCGCGTTTTTGCAATCCCTTTATTATGATTCATCGTATTTTCCGAAGCTGAGTGACGGCAAGCAGATCATTTTGAGCGACCTTCACAGAAGCGAATGACAGATTACATTACTGTTGAGCCAATCCCTAAAGGTGACATATTTTTTATATTATGCCTTACTCTGTAAACAGGCTAAGTCAGATTGCGTAGATCTAGATCTGGTATAGGTTGTCTAGATCGGCGACTTGGCTTCCCCGGAGACGGAAGTACTTCCTAAGCAACGTCCGACAACAGACGGCCGCCGACCGCAACGCCGTGGTGGAGTGCCGCTCCTGGGCCGGCACCAGCCGACCCGATTATCCGACCGGGGCGGCCCGGTACCGTCAGGGGTCTCCGGGGTCAGCCCGGATCACCCGCAGTCAGAGGTCACGCCGGGTCACCAGGGTGGGAGCTCAGCGGGCGGCGGAACCGGTGACCGCTTCCTGCCGCCGGTGGACGATCAGGCGACGTAATGTGGACGCTAGATGGACCGCAGCCCATCTAAAGAAAGCGCTTGGATCAGGGCCCCAGGGCTCCAGGGCCCCCAGCTGTCAGGTCCAGAATGTCAGCTCCAGCTGATGTTGAGCTGGTGCCCGGCTGTTTTGTGATCGACATGAGTAAGTCTCCCCGATACTTTTCCCCCCAACTGTACGGTGTCGCACGGTTTCGCCCTTATCAGAGCGTGGGTTTGGGTGTAGGCTCCTCGGACGCTCCCAGTTTATACAACAGCATGTGTAAAGCTTCGCATCTCTTTGGGAGGATGCCCCCTTTCCACCTGTGTTGAACTGGCGTCCTCAACAAGGTGTCAGACCTATTGCGAAAAGCATTGGAGATGGAGCCGAGGGGAATTTGAGTCCCCTCCTCCCATGTATGGGCCTTAGTAACTGAACACCGTTTACGAGCTTCCACTCCTGTATAATAAGTCACATATATTATCATAGTATGTGTGTTAACTGATGCCGTTCGTGAATATGGACATGTAGCGTGTTTAAGGTTATCAAAACACTTAAGGCGGCCTCGACCAAAAGTACTGCACAAAAGACGGACATGGAAACGCAAGGCATCGCTGCGTTTATTTGCTGAGCATGTCTCGTAAATATCGAAGGTATGGAGGGTTAAGGATTCATTGCATTGCATTTTAGAACCAAAACCTACGAGGCTCAAAGGGCATGGGAGCCACTGATCTTTCTGAATAAATGTCTAACATGATACTAGAAATCTACCATGAAGCCATTCAGAAAACATTGTGAAAGAAAAAAAAATTGTATCATCACACCCATGCTGACAGTAAGTGGAGGCGTTGAAAATGTCGAGAAGGAATCCTTTCTACTACAGCGCATACGATAATCAAGAGAACAACCTAAAAACATCCAGTGATTGCTGCGACAGGGCATTGTCACACAAGCCAACAGCCGCAGCGCATTTCCCGCGCGCGTCCACGTATCGAGTTGCAACATCAATTGGGCGCCCGTTATGACCCCGTGGTGCCTCACCAGCAACAGTACGACTGCCGCCACTAACGCCGCATAACCGCGGTGCTAACTCGCGGCGCTCCGCCGCAAATAACTGTGTCACTCAGCCGCTCCGTTCGTGCTGTTATCAACCAATGACCTGGCTCGTGATCGCCATGTGACCGGACTGGGGGCGGGGCCGACCGGCGGTCAAGGTCACGGGGTCTGTGGACGAGCCCATCGGTGTATGAAGCGGCGCGTTGCCGGTGAGGTCAGCCACAGGAAGTCCGGGCGCAGGCCACAGTGTGGCCGATGTCAGAGACCCTGCGAACGGGACAGACCATAGGACGCGGCCATACCGGATTATGGATCAGCAAAATGGGCTATGGCCGACAAAGATGGGTTTGTTCAATGCTGTTAGTGATGTTGCAGGTAAACATTTGTATCACTTATGCATCAGAGTCTGTAATTATACAAGAGCAGACTGTATTCGAGCAGCTTACATTTGGACTGCCACCTATTTCTCTGCCGAGAAAGCGTACAAATATCTCATCTCGCTCTCAGCACGATGGTTAACACACTGATGCCTTTTATGAGATCAATAGCCGATGACACTAAGAAGCCATCTACTGACATAACAATCACCACCAGATTACTTGTATTGTGATGTTAGTAAGATCAATTGGCTACTATTTGGTCCTCAATGATTTGCTCTCAATCTGTAGAACGCCCAAACGGAAGTAAAGCGCAACGAGTGCTACAGCTACAACACTTCTACCGGTACATCATTGATACACCACTTAAAGTGTCCGAGGATACGCGCCTCGGACTTATAAAAAGAACATAAATATAAATATACAAATCGGACACAAATAGTAGGATGT